AAACCAGATACCATCTCTTTCGATCCAGTTCTTGACAACTTTGATTTTAATATTATCTGGTGTATTATGCAAGCTCTTTATAAACTCATTGGGCATTTCATCAAGTACCATCTCTGTCAGTGAAGGGAGGTTCTCCATGCCTTGCACAATCTTTAATTCTACGCATGCTTTTAAGCATAGAATAGACAACTCTGGCATGGCATCTCTTCTTATTTCGATGCAGTTTAGTTCATTTAGTTGAAGTAGTTGCAATTCTGAAAGTTTTGGAAACCAGCATTCTTGCAAGCATAACCTTTGCCCCACATACGCATCGTCATAGAGGCACAAGAAATAAAGATTAGGTAATTGACCAAGAACTTGAAGCGAATCTTCTGAAAGACGAGAACGGAATAAGCGAACAGTCTGGAGCTGGACAAGTCCCGAAAACCACTGAGGTAGTTTACCCTTTGCAAATATACCCTGCAAGGTGAGCTTCTGAAGATAGGGTGGTAGGGAAGGTAAGGCTTCCCGATTGAAAATGTGTGACTTAGAATATTGATAGACTGCCAATTTCTTAAGTCTCTCCATTTTAGAAAGAGCAACAAATAATTCCTGACTTTGAGATTCTTTAACCCGTCCAATCTTTAACGATCTCAACTCAGCCAAATTGCCAATGTTCTTAACAATTTCATCATTTGCGGCTAAATATTTGACGGTTTGTAAATACGCAATGTCACAGATCTTTCTAGGAGCCGTCACTGGATAAATATCGAGATGATTATCCGAAACTATTAAATATTTCCCGGCTAAAATGTGCCTCAAACGTTTCAGTTTTGCTATTGTTGAAGGCAGATTCTCCACATTTGTATTCCAAACATCCAGAGTCTGTAGGTTTTGTAACCTTCCCAAGTATTTGGAAATTTTTTTAATCTTAGTGCCACGTAAGCCGAGATAATGAAGGTTGAACAGTTGGTAGATTTCGTTTGGTAATTTTTCTATTGGAGCAAAACTCATATCTAAGACCTTCAAAAGCCTGAAGCTGGAGAAATGATTTTGCGGCGTGAGGTTACTGAATGAAGCTTTGGGATCAAACACAATAATTGATCTGAGATGGTGAGAAGTTTCTAGTCTTAGATTACTTGCACTGTTTGATATAGAAAGACGCCGAATATCCCCACTCAACTCACCGCCACGATACACCTCACAAAAATTATCTTCCCTGGATTTTGTCAAAAGGAAGTCTCTTATAAGATCATGAATGGTGTATCGTGATATTATTCCATGGTAACTTATTAAATGGATCTGAAGCATGCATCTATGAGTAAGTTCATTAAGATATTCCTCTGCCACCTCCTCCAATGAGTTGCTTCCTTGTTTCTGAACAAAACCTTCTGCTACCCATAACCTTATGAGCTTGTTTCTTCGGATCGTGTAACCTTCTGGAAACATAATACAATATAGGAGACAACTCTTGAGATAAGCTGGAAGATCATTGAAGCTTAACCTGAAAATATTGTACACATTACGGAGATCAGTTGATCCAATGTTTAGACCATCATATATCCTTTGCCACA